AAAAAAAAAAAAAATGCAGCCACATATGGTCCTATGCACCTGTAGTCCCAGCTACTTGGGAGGCTAAGACAGTAGGGCCCTAGCCCTGGAGTTAGAAAATGGCCTGTGCAGCATAGTGACATCTTGTTTCAACAAATCCTACAGCAAAAGAAAATTTAAAAAATTTGGTACACTTGTTGGATAAAAGAAATGGAAGGGAGAACACTGGAGAGATGTTCTTACCTGCCACGCCGGGATAGGATACTAACAAGCCAGAGAGAACAATAGCATGTCAGTGGGGGTTATGGAGAGAACAAGAAACAGGTTTAATTCCTGGAGAGGGATTGAGGTTATGGACAAGGAGGGCAAGAGTTAGCTATTTTTCCTTTTACAGCTTCTACTGTAGGTGTAGAAAGCACTTCTTTTCTAAGGTGGTAAATGTGAGTTTGCTAGATGGAATAGTTTTACTTGTGGAGAAATGGAGTGTATTGCCCAAGTTGGGAATCTGTCTTCTGCTCTTAAATTTTCTATGTTCCTTCATTTACCTAGTGTTATGTAATAAAATTTTGATTGCCTCAATTTACTAGCTCTTAGGTAACTTAAGTAAAACAGTGTATTTCACTTATTACCAAGCAAACTCCAGAGCAGGCAGGTTAAATCCTGTCTTTGTCATTTACAGATCATATACTCTTAGGCAAGCAGCAAAACTCTGTGCCTCAGTTCCCTTGTCTCATGTGATTGTTGGTGGGTTCCATGGTTTTAAAATATGCAAGATCTTTTTTGTTGTTGTTTTTTTTGGTACCAGGGATCAAACTCCAGCCCTTGCATTTTCACGGCCGGAGGCGGAATCACTGAGCTAAGTCCCCGGCCCAAAATATGCAAGCTCTTGGAGCAGTTGCTGGAGTATGGGGAGGGATCCCTGTCAGTAGGAAGCTTACTGTCCAAACAGAATGGTGCCCATTATAATTATCAGTGAGTCTGGGGCTAGGGATGTATCTCAGTGGTTAGCATGCACAAAGGCCCTGGGTTCAATCCCCAGCATCATACCTGCACACAAAATGAATTTTGGATTAATTTACATGTAATAAAATGTATCCGTCCTAACTGTATGGCTTGAAATTTTTTAATAAATGTGGTACTCTTGCAACAATCACCACAAGATACAGAACATTTCTGTCACCTCAAAAGATAGACCTGAAGGGCCGGGGATTTAGCTCAGTGGTTCAGTGGCCTGCCTTGCAAGTGCAAGGACCCAAGTTCAATCCCTGGTACCAAAAAAACCAAAAAGATAGACCTGGCCCCTGCCCCAAGTAACTACTGTCTTAATCTGTCTTAATTTCTACCACTATGGATTAGTCTTTTTCTAGACTTCCATGTACATGAAATTATACTGTAATCATACAGTTCCTTATTTTTCAGTCATTTTGTCAATATATTTTTTATAAAGTTTATGGGTACATTTTAAGTATACATTATGATGACATTCATCATTGGGACTTCATACCTATACATGACATACCTTGGTTATTTTTTCCCCATTCGCCTGCCCTCCTGTCAACCCTCCACCCCTCCCTATTTACAAAGACTGTTTTTTCCTTCTTTTCTCATACTTTTTTCATTATTTACCTTCCCCTACCCCCCACTTCCCCTTCCTCTTCCTCTTCCCCTTCCCCTTTGGACCTTTTCTTCCTATTTCACATTATTATACACTTCATTCCTCATTTGTACTTTCAGTTTCTCACACCAGAGAAACAATTTTATATTAAAATCTATGTTGGGTTTTCTTTTTAAGCCCCTTACCTATTGACAGGCATCTAGGTTGTTTTCAGTTGTGACTTTTCATTTTTTATTATTTGCAGTACTTTCGATTGACCCCAAGGCCTCATATGTGCTGGGCAAGCACTGTTACTGCCCCAGCTTCAGTGAATAGTCTTGTACAAGGCTGGGTGGATATACCATTGTTTTGGGGGATTACCTTGAAGTAGAGTTGCTGGGTCATGGGCTGAGTATATTAAGTTTTACAAGAAAGTCAAGTTGTTTCCTAACTAAGTGCACTACTTTGCATTCTTACCATCCACATTTGAGTGTTCCAGTTGCTACTCACCCATTAAAATTACTAAAATGAGAATAACAATTACCAATATTTATAATAATAACTAATTTTTTTTTCCTTTGGCTTTTTGAGACAGGGTCTCACTATGTAGTTGAGACTGACCTGGAACTCACTATGTAGCCCAGGCTGGTCTCGAACTCACAGCGATCCTCCTGCCTCTGCCTCCCGAGTGCTGGGATTACAGGCGTGCGCTACCACACCGGGCCATAAAAATAACCAATATTAATGAGCATGGTGAGGAGCTTGTACATAAAATGGAGTACCTTACAATGCTTTGCACCATGAAACAAAAGAAATTAATGCTTGGTTGATAATAACCACTTAGGCTTATTTTCCTAAGGTTGAGTAAGTTAGGATTTAGGACCATCTATATTAGGAGTAGATCCTATCAGTAGATGTGAGTTGTCCCCAAACTGTTTTTTGTTTGTATGTTTTTTTTTGGGGGGGTTTCCGGGAGTTGAATCCAGGGCCTTTTCACTGAGCTACATCCTCAGTCTCTTCTTTCTTACTTTGAGGCAGGGTCTTGCTAAATCACTAACTAAACTGCTCAGGCTGACCTTGAACTTTCCATCCTCCTGCCTCAGCTTCCTAGAGTTCTGGCATGTACCACCACATCTAGTTTTTTATTTTGTTTTTTCCTCTCCCTTTACAGACTGCTTATCTTGGCCAAACAGCCATTAAAGCAGGCAGTAGATTTCAAGGGCAAAGATGTAAATATCCTACAACACAAATTGACAAGACTCATTTCAAGCAACAACCACTAGATAATTAGCTTTCTTTAAAACATGTTTTAAAGGGCGTGGTGGCTCACGCCTGTAATCCCAGCATTGGGATCAGCTGTGTGTTTGAAGCCAGCTAGAATCAGTGAGACCCTGTCACAAAAACACCAAAATATATATATATTACTGCTCTATTTGAAAAAAAAATTTTTTTAAATCTGGGGCCAGGCATGTTCAGTGGTGCTGCCGCCTGCCTCGCAAGCGAAAGGTCCCAAGTTCTATCGCCAGTACCAAAAAACAAACAAAAACAAGAAATGTTTGTACAAAATAAAGAATTAAAGGATTACTTCAGCAGTTGATGTATTTTTACCATCTTTCTATTGATTATTGCTATTGATTACTGAATACTTTGCTATTGATGACAATCACTACTGATCCTATGTATAAGGTTAACAGGCCAGGCTTGGTGGCGTGTAATGCTAGCACTGGTAAGGCTGAGGCAAGAGGATCACTGTCAAGTTGAAGGCCAGCCTGAACTACATAGGGAGATCTGGTTCCAAAGAGACGGTTTCGGGGGGAGGGGGAGCGATACCTTTGTGTTATTGTCTAAAATATGCTATTTAAATTAATACAAATTAATTAGTACAAATTAATGCTGCTTCCCTTGGAAGACAGTCAACCCTTTGAGGGTAGAGTCAGTATGAGATGGAACTTTTCTTCCACATAGAGTTGACCTAATAGTTATGGACTGACTGGATGGAGGT